TAACACGACTTTCTTTTATATATATAGATTTTAAAGAGTTGACTTCGAAGCGAATAATGTGTACTTACTTAATAAAATATATAATCAAATGACTTCATGACTATATTATTCTTCTATTTAGTCTATAAGTTATTGCTAAATAAGGTATATTACTTCACTGCATTAATTAAATAATTGTGAATAAATATAGATTTTAGGAATAAATATTACAAAATCCCTTTCAAACTGCCTGCGTCGAATTCTTTAGTACTTCGGCCATATTGCCAGAAGAAGCGAAGATAACGAACGAAGCGAAATAACGATAATGGAAAAGCTCATGGTAACTGGCAAGGCCGAAGGAAGGAGACGCAGGGGGAGTAATCTGATGCGTTAATGGTCCGACCAGGTCCGGTCAGTTCTCGAGTCACTGTCTACGAGGCGTTACACTCTGCGCAAGATAGACACGGGTGGTACAGGATTGTCTATAAGAAAACGTTCATGCGAGCTCACGACCCTCAGGAATGAGGAGACCGACGCAAGGAGGAGGAGGATTACAAATGAGAGATGAGCGAAGGAGCCTTTAACATTAAAAAAATACAAGTAGCGCCATCTCAGCCGTACTAATTACATATTATATTTTTAGAAATCAGAAGCAGATATATTAAAAAAGAAACAATTTTAACACTTGACCTAGTTATTTAGTCTGGAAAAGTAATTTTAACAACAAAATTAATTAAATAGAAAGAACAAAATCCTAAACTTAATTATTTAACGCTTTAACAAAACTACACGACCGGTGTTTGCATTACGAACGCCAAGAGCCAAGAGACGCGCGGCGGTTTGAATGCTTCTTTTATAAACAATCGTGTGGGTAGTTCTTTTATAAATAATGACGGTGGTAAGCTGATTGCTTATAATCCCTACTAATATTATAAATGCGAAAGTAACTCTGTCTGTCTGTCTGTCTGTCTGTCTGTCTGTCTGTCTGCTACGCTTTCACGCCTAAACCACTGAACTGATTTTAATGAAATTCGGTACAGAGATAGAGTTGACCTTGAGAAAGAACATAGGATAGTTTTTATCCCAGACTTTTGAAAGGTTCTCTTGGAAACGCGATATAACCGAACTCCACGCGGCGAAGCTGCGGGCGGAAAGCTAGTATACTATAATTCTTAGAATTATTTTATCATAATACTGAATTGTAATGTTGAAATGGTAACATTTAAGTATCACCTTATATTTTTAAATTATAAATACTAGCTCCAGCCATTTTACAGGACATTACTGGAAGTAACATTGAAAAACAAATCTGAAACTGTACCTCGAAAATAACCGCGTTTTATTAATTGCGTCTACTATAGTCTAAACCAGAGGTGGCCAACCGGTCGAGCGCGATCGTTAGTCCAATCGATCGTGGCCAGTCAAAAAATATAAATAAATAGACCAGACTGTGCATTTTAATTATCAACAACTGCAGCACCTTCTTGTATCATTTTTCAATCGCTGTTCCGTCACGTTATTTATGCTCTATTCTACAAAGTATATAGTGTTTTGTTTTCGACACACGTTATTACTCTGCGATGCGACATATTTCTAAAAGCAAGGTCCGCAGGTCAAGATTTCTGGGCATTGGTTTCCAAAGAAAAATATCCAAATTTGATAAAATGTGTTGATAAACTTCATTCGTGTTTTGGTTCAACATATTTATGTGAATCAGCATTTTCCTACTTAAAACAACACTAAACACCGTTCTCGCTTGACAGACCCTCATACATTAGATTCTTTAAGGTTGGCAATTTCCAACTACAAACCTGATTATGCTAAACTAGTGGAAAATGTTCAGGCGCAATGCTCAAACTAATATACCTACAGTGTGTATGAAAAATTGTGTCAACCCTCTTAACTACGTTATCAGTATCGAAACAACTTACATTTACAAAATCTTCAATAGAAATAATAAAATTAAATATTGAATAATTTACCACCATCACACCTGCTGCGCTACCAGTGACGAACTCGAACGTACATTCACATTATTTTGATTGTTTAATCACTTTAACGATTCACTGATACCACTTTTTTCAAATATCGATACGTTTCACTATGTTACAAATCAATTTAAAATAACACTTAGTTAACTAAAAAGTATACGGCTCGAGAATTCACTGTCTTCATCGTTTTCGTTTAAAGTCCATTTGCAGAATGCCATTCTAGGCTCGAAGTCGGTAGGAATTAATAACTGTACTCGACGATAATGGTACGGGTGTCGGCCATTTTGTTTTAAAACTTTCCAAACACGCGTATAGTTGAGTAGATGTCCACGCGTGCTTTGCGTAAGGTCCTGTCGAAAAATATCTGATATGTGTTCCTCTAGATCGTCATTATTAACCCTCGGCCTTCCCTCATTAGCACGTTGTTGTTCACGGCCATCGACATTTCCGAAATTGTAGGTACATGCGTATATGAAGACGCTCAAATGCCTTAAGTGACGGTAATGGTATGTTTCTTGGAGAAGCAAACAGTTCGTCATAAAGTTTACGCGATTCCGCATAATTACACACAATTATAATAATCACTTTTCACTAGACACATAATCACATTTCACTAGACACATTAACACATTGAAATATTCCTGGTTGGAATACATTTTATAAAACAACACAACTTTATAAAACCGCAACCAAAAAGTAAGTAATCCACTCGAAAGAAATTTCCACGAATTTTTATTAAAAGGGCGGGGCAGGCTCGAATAAAAAATATCGATATTTAAAAAATCATAACAATAAATCAATATTTAATATTCATATTATTTCGATACTTATTTTGATATATCAAACATTAATATTATTTTTGATTGTAAAACACCATTTTTAACAGAAATAGATTAACGATTTATCCTAATAATACAACATAGTTAATTTACTTGAAGAAGTTCCAAATTATAATATTGATTAATATATTATTAATAAAAGTTATTTTAAATGAAATTATTTTATTGTGAAAAGCATAACTATTATAAATAGCAATATTGAAAATATCGATAGAATATTTATCGATATACCTAATTTTTAAACTTGCAAATGTCTATTCGAAGAACAAACAAATGTCGCTTCGCGCCACGCCGGCAGCCCGGCGCCTGCGATGAATGGCCGCGCGTGCGCCGGAGCGACTATACGGCGCCTTTTAACCGTTTATGGGTCGGATGTCAAATAATGTCGATTTAAAACTTATTTAGCCTATGCACTGTAATTGACCTCTGCTTGATATTTTTTAAGTCATACTATTTTTAATAATAAGCTTATACTTATATGTATACATGCCTTTAAAGAAGGACACAGTTTTTAGAACACGCTATATAGGACCCATATAATGTTAAGTAAATTTAAGAAAACGATCTCACATGTGATATGAAAAGAAACTACTAAGACTGGTTAATAGAAAATACATGATTGTGTACTAAACTGTGCAGTTTCATTTCAAGAAGTATGTATGTACTTGGTCGATCGCACAGGGTTTCGTTAGTAAACAGTAGCTCTTAGGTCTAGTCAAGTTGACCACCCCTGATCTAAACTATAAACAAATCTTTTATATTTTTTCGGGGAGGGGGCGGGGCGACACTTTAATATCGTAGATCAATCGATCGCCGCACACGCGGCCCGTCATTCATAAATAAATTGAGACGATGCCATTCTTCAAGTATGCGTGTACGTAGAGTTTTTTTAAATAAAAAACATTTTGTTTTAGATTGGTTATATTTCTTTAGCATGAATGGATGTTATACTCTTGCGGATGCACGGGAACGCCCTCTTAGTTAACGTACTGTATAAGAAAAGTTAAACGTTAAAATAAAAAAATAATCTAATATTATAAAGAAGTTGTATTCCAAGAAACTCGAAAAAAATGCACAAATATTAATATTTTTTGGGTTTCATATACACCTAAGTCTGTTTTTACACGGTCTTTTTGTCCACGGTTTGAAAATTGAATATTTTTAATTTTTTTACACGATTTTATTCCATTTAGCACGATTTGAAATTTTATGTAGGTACTTAAATTTTTTTGTCAAATTTAATTTTTGCGAAGTATGTTGATATCACAAAAAAGTATTTATGAAAGAAAAAAGTCTGAAACCATTGATAGTATCGATAGTTTGCGAACATAAGCATTATATATTTGATTTAATAAAATAAACATGAATTCTTGTTCTTAAAAATTCTTGTTTTTCAGTAATTTTAATAGGTTTTAGAGATTAGGAACAAATCACCCATTTTTGTATAAGATCAATGTCTTTTTTTACACGGCTTCTTCTGGAACCAATCTACCGTGTAAAAAGAGACTTAGGTGTATTTATTATGTAACAAGTAGTAGTAATAATTAATTATTTTATTATTTGTAGTTAAAGTACCAGGTTTGAAACGGAAAATAGATTTAGACACCTGAACTTTTGCTTCACCTAGTTTTTTCTATTTTCCTTACTTTCCTTCTCGTAGTTTCGAATTAAATTAAAAGATAATTCATTCTTGTTAAACTACTACACACGAATTATATTTATTGTATGATAAAGCTCTAATGGTAATAACGAAAAATTTTAAGGTTAAACGGGAATTGGAAAGGAACTGTGATTGGAATAAAGACCAATTAGCTCCCTCCAAAATCTTCGACAGACTTCTATGTAAAAGTGAACCGAAAATACTCTAAAAATAATACACTTTAGCAGTAGCCAGACAGGAAAACCGGTTTGATCATACCACATACCCCCATAAATTCAAAAACTTCTACTGCGAAAAAACAAAATTAAGTTGATGTTCCCTTTTAACCAATATAATGTATTACCGCGGGTCTATTCTTTACATTTATATAGTTTTTCTATATACACCAATAGCAATAATAAAATACTTACTTAATACTTACTCAAGTGCTAACTAAATAATGCTAGCATTTTTATACTCAATCAGCTTATATGGCTAATTATAAAAAAAATTGGGGGTGGAATAAAGCTGCCAAATGTTTCATACATTTTATTAGTCCCATTTATACAGTAATGAAGTCCAAGGTGTGTACGAGTGAGGCAGGTCACAGCAGCCGGCCGCGACATGTTGGGGCCCCGCAGTAACAGTAGAGGACCTTCCCGGCCACGGAACCCACGTCGTAGTTGTATTCCACGTGAGCTCGCCCCCGGCCCGCACCGCGCTTAGAGCGAAGAAAGACACCCACGGGAAGCGAGGGTCGTGCGTGCCACGAACACGTTCGGCACGCACGAGTGCTGGGGCAGTGGGAATAGACCAGACCAGTAATCATATCTGTTTTCGATGGAATTTTTAATGATTTTTTTCTATTGCAACACTAATAAAACAAAAAAATACAAATTGACATTGATATGTCACATTGTTTACATTCGCTTTGTTTACCTACATTGAGAGTGTTGATTTATTGTGGATTTTCTTTCAACGATTGTTTATTCATTATGGACTCCGACCTATCTTTTTCCAATGACCCCGGCACACCTACGGACCCCGAGTTTCGCTCAAACGATGACCCTGGCTTTTGTATTATGGACTCCGATGACCAACACTCACGTAATATGGGCCCCGAAACTAGCTCCATCGCTAACCACTGCTTGAATATGAACATTGAACAAAACCAAAGCGTGTCTCATGATAGTCTGCACACAGAAGAAGTGACTTCTTACCAATCCGTATCTCTGAGATGCATAAACTGTGGAACTGATTTGATAGAGCGAAGGCGACATAGTCTAGACTCTAGATCTTTATCAGGTTCAGTCTATTATAAGACAGTGGATAGCTCCTCGACGACTAAGTCTAAATTCAATTAATTATTTAAATCACTCGTTTTTTAATAGATATGTATTGTATATGCTATTCCTATAATGCAATATGAGGTTTTATATAATTATAATCCTTATATACTGTTGTATTATAATAAATGAAAAGATGTTTAGCCCTAACACATTAGCTGACTTTGTTATCGAAAATAATTTAAATAGAAGGCGGGCAGATTTTTAACCTATAAATGTAAACATGGATAGTTTCATATTTCCAAGAATAGAATATAATTATATTATAAAGATTGCATGTGGAACATACCAACTAAAACAAACTTGTTCATATTATGGGCAGCACATAAGAGGCGATTGTTCCTATACTATAGAAGTATGCAGAAATATAGCCAGCAACCTATTGGTGTACTACCCAATTCCTTTGGCCAACTGCAGATTATTGCGTGGAAAAATACAAAGCAGGCATGTAAGTCGAAAAATACATTTTATATATATATATGAAAATAATCACAATGGTAAGGAAGCTATAAAAGAATATTATTGTAATTGCATGGTAGGCCGAAGGACAGTGGGTTGCTGCACTCATATAATGACTATTTTATAGTTTTTAAGTTGGGCAAGATATCAGGAACACATTTCACCACCTGTCTAATTTCTTGAAAACATATTATTAACAAATGATGTCTCAGAATAAAAAATGTTGTTTTATTTCGCTTTAACCTGTTTTTCCTCACATGATAAAAATCTCTTTTTGAACATTTTGATACAAAATTAAGTTCATATTATTACTAGTTAGTGCTTTTAAACTAATTACAAAAAAAAATGATGAAATGTCTGTTCATGTCAGGCCAAAGTCCCCATACTAAGTGGACAATCGCCTTTATATATAAAGTCTATATGAAGTGTACTTATTGGCTCCCTATGAAAATGACTAGTGAAAAGTAATCCCGAAGAAATTTAAAACCTTAAATGTTTGACTATAAATGTATGACCTATATAAGGTTTAATTTAAATGTGAACTGCACTACACCATTTTAGCAATCTATTGCCATGACATTTTCCTCACCTATAAGTATTTTGATTTAAATTCATTTGCTCCCATCCCAGCAGCGGCTTTGAAATTCGAAGGTTCTCAAACTGCAATTAGATTTAATTATTAATTTTAATAATTGACTATATGGTATATAATATTCTATTCACATAAGATACAATAGTAATAGTAGAGACAGTAGAATTTCACATATTATCTTACACATATTATAAAAACTGTATGACTATGAAGCAGTGAAAATAATATTGTTATATTACAATAGATGGCTCCATAAACAAAACTGTATACAAGAATTGTAGGAGACTATGACCTAATTTGTCTATACACATAGAAGATATTTTTGGTTGAAATCAGAAAAGGTAACTTGACAGATCCATACAGATCAATCTTCTAGCAAACAAATAATTTCTAATGGGGACATTTGAAGCAAGTTTATATACTCACATTAAAACACATGGAATTACAAGCTTACATAAAATAGAACTATCAATTATTCCAATTATTATGAAATAAAAACATCTACAATTTTAATTTTAAGTACAAAAAAAATCTATATAATTTTTAACAGTTAAGCCCTGAAATTATTTTCCATGTAAATGTTTTATTAACTTTGAAAAGGAGAAACTTTTTAGGGATTAATGTTGTAATATTATCATAATGAATGTCAACACATCAAAAGTTATTTCAGCAGTGATGGTTTGTAATTCAAATGGTTCATGTTTGCTACATTTAATTGGCCGTGTGTTGTGTTAACTTCACGGGTCGTGTGTTATGTGTCACCTTCTTCATCGTCACTGATGGTGATGCAGTCCTCTTCGTTGTCCTTCTTCGTTTCAGGTTTATCTTTGTCTTTGGCCGCTGATTTTTCTTTGTCTACCTTTGAATCCCTTTGCCGCAAACGTTTGCTGTAAATATTCAATGAAATTAATAAAGAGACAAGAAGATTTGCAATTCTACTAATATTATAATTGCAAGAGTTTGTAAGTGTGCGTGTAAGTTTGTTAATTCTTCACGCTCAAACGGCAAACCGATTTTGATAATATTTTGTATACAGGAAGCTGACATCCAGGAATAACACATAGGCTACTTTACATCCCGGAAATCCGCGGGTAACACCGAGGGGCGCAGCTAGTGTATATATTTTAGTGTTGATACAAACTTGAACTCAGTCAGTCCCAGGCGACTATTCTAGAAAGCAGAATAAGGATTTCATTATATATAATATCAACAGGACATGAGGAATTATAAAATGAATGTGTCGATAACGGTTTACTCAATATAAGAGATACATTATGGAGAAATGTACGATATAACTTAAAACAAAGTAACCAACAGACCTTACCGACACACTACTATCGTACATCAGCTACATACACTTCTCTTCATAGAAGGGTTCCTCTCGTCCGCAGACCACGTCCTAACAGACGCTCCACCAACAGCTTCGACCCTCATCCTGAATTATATATTCTTACGAGTCCTGGAACGTAACGAATGATTCTAGTTTATATAATGACAATAGATTTCTTACTTAAATATTCGACTTACAAGAAGTCGCATTTTAAAGAGTGAGAAACATAATAATAAAGAAGACCATTGAAACGATATAACGTTGAAAAACCCTCCGGTCAATGTTACGCTTAGACAATAATTCAAAATATACTATTAAAATGAACTAGTACTCTTATCACTACAGATAATAAACACTAATATTAACCAAAACTAAAAATGTTTCTTAATAAACATTTGCATTTGAACGTAATGTCAATAAAATAAAAAGTAACATTTATTAGTACCTATGAGCAAAAAAAACACTCACCATGAAGATAACCGACGTAAAACATATCCATCATAAGGAAGGCCGCGGCCGACTGCCACCAGAGGCACCAGAGGGAGCCGGAAGGACTGGAGAAACATGAGAAATGAATTTTGAAAGCAATTAATAGTAAAACCTTAAAATGTAAATTAATAAAATTTAAAAACTAACAATAAACGAGCCGTCAGATTGGCCACACTAAGTGACTAAGAATCATGGGGAATGGGGATGAAACCAGTGTTGCCAACTTTATTTTTTAGATAACCGTACTATAGACTAAAAAAAATAGTATTTTGTCTTGAAATTCAGGAAAAAAAGAGTACGCGATGAAATTTCAATAAAACTTCGTAAGTATATCAATTAAAAATGAAATTTAATTTTAATTTTCAATTAACATTAATTATCAATTAATATGTGGAATTAAGATATTCATTAATTACATATATTTTGAAAACAGAAAAAAAAAATTAATTGCTTTAGTCACTATCTGAATTATTAAGCCCAGCAGATGCGGGAAAAGCATTATATTTTTTGTTCATACATACATACTTAAATTTAATTTGCTCAGCATATCGTCACATGGCTTGAAGTTTATGCACGATCCTTTTTCTTTAATAATTTTTTTTTGATGACGTAGTGGAAACTCTTTTTACGGGCCATCCAACCGGCCTTGGTGGAGCCGGGAGGGATGTGTGAGGCTCGGCCTGGGCAGGCCCCTACACACTAAAACCACTGCGAAATTCTTAATTACCGTTTCTGGAATATAGTTTAGTTTTACATATTCCTTATAGTTATAGTATAGTACTAAATATAGTTAGTTATAGTACAAAGTTTAGTTTTACATATTCCTTATAGTTTTATTGGAGATATATTTTTTCGTAGGACTTCATTTAAAAAATCGTATATTGTGCGTACGATTTCGATAACTCGATCGTACATCGTACAAGAGTCAAAAAGGTCGTATAAATACGATTTAAATCGTTTCGGTTGGCAACACTGGATGAAACTGTCGTATAATTAACGTGTTTAAGAAAATAATGTATAGCAAATGCTGCCATCTAACGAACGAAGCACAACAACTTTGACACTATTTTCCTTCATAACTTCATAGATGTCGTATGTAGCTCTCAAATCGATTTGACATTAGGACATATTTTAAATTATTTCAGTTGTTCATTTGCCGTCGTTTACTTTTCTTCTTGTGCTGTACGTTCTTTTTCAAACATTTGACCCGGCTTAATATATCATTGACTCCTATTTCTACCCTTTAGACGATCGACCCCGGCTTTTCTCAATTGGACTTTGTTTTCTGCGACTACGATCGACACCGGCTCTTCTCATTTGGATTTTGATTGCAAACTACGAATTTGGATTACCGATAAGTGGAAAAAATGCTACGAAAATTTAAGTGTTATTTTCGGTGTGCGACTAAAGGTACGATACTTATTTAGTAAAATCTATAAAATTCTTATTTGTCATATATGCAATCAATTACTACTCTTGTTACATCAATTTCAATCGTAACAGTTTATTGACTTCTACTAAAAAAAACTTTTCAGGTCCTTTTCATCAATTTCCTAAACCTGAATACCAAAATTTGGAGAAATTCATTCAATGGAAAAATATTTTAAATGAAAACATGAAACAAAAGGAAGATTCTTAACGTGATCGTCATTTTGAACAGTTTTACCATTCTTTAAATAAATGACTCATTCGAAATGTTGTACCAACTCTATTCTTAAGTAAGTATCTAAAGTAAGCAACTTCCCAAGTAGTTATAGGCACACAATACATACTACTAATATAAAATAACTATAAATAATCAATTATACTTTATAACTATGGATAATATTTTACATTATTATTATTTTACTTTAGAAATTGATACTCATAATTAAAAATTAAAAACAAAAAAATTTGATTTAATTGAATATAATGAAATAGGTATACAAGTCATCTTAACATTTTTATATACTTACATGTGGTTTGATAGATTTATAATGTGCGGTCTTTATTACCTTTTTTATCTAAATAAAGGAAAGTGCCTACAAAATTACAAGTCTATTTACATTCAATCAGAAACTCTAAAAGAAACAAGGAAGGAAAATACAATCAAGACAATATGTTATCATTCAATTTTAAGATTTTTCATTTAACTTTTCTTTTAATATATTTATTTGTATTAAAAATATATTTTATTTAGCAGCATCAGCATTTGAGACTGTACACTCATCACATTCTGTTGAAACTGAAAAAAGTGTTGATACACAAAAAGAAGACAATGATGAATCTTGTAGTCACAACTTGGGTTTAAATATGAATCAAGTTCAGCTACAAAGGAGTTCTCCTAATTCCTCTCAATTATTTCCTAAAGGTAAGTTACAGGCATATAACTAAGCTTAATATTAACTATGATTGCTATATTAACTTTTAAATTATAATACAGCATAAAGCATTTTAAATACAATATAAATTTAAACCACAGATTCACTAGATTTGCAAATATCGAGATTTATTTCATATTTTCTTCAAATATGTATATTTTTTGTCTTTTAATAAACATTAATCCCGGTTTTAGATAACCTGATTCCTTTTTAAGTAAATACGGATATAAACTCAGATGAGTGATCATCATCTACATTTAAACCTAAGATGTTCAAATATGTCTTCTCATCATTTAATTGATTATCTGAAATCCCTTATGACAACTATTAGTTTCGTCATTAGAGATACTACTGTATACATAATTAAACATATTAGTGTTTATTTTATTGTGTAGTATATGGTAGGAATTTTGAATTATTTCCTAAGTGTTACATACATTGGGCGCAGGGTTCTTTAACGTTATCGTTTTGATGGCTTCCTTTTTTTTATTTTAACTATTATCTTTACAATTTTCGGCCACGCCCTGAAATGCGACTTCTTAATGTAAGTTGGTAAGTTTGTTAACAATTAATGTATAAAAATAGTATTATTTGTAACGTTTCAGGACTCGTGAGAATATATAATTCAAGATGAGGGTCGAACCTGTTGGTGGAGCGTCTGTTAAGACGTGGTCTGCGGACGAGAGGAAACCTTCTATGAAGAGAAGTGTATGTAGCCGATGTACGATAGTAGTGTATGTACCGTTGAATATTTAATATTATTCTGTTATTATTTATAGTACGATTGAATCATTGTGTATGTTCATTTATTCAATATTTTTTTTTATTACATTAACCGAATGCTTCCGACACGTCGTAATGATTAAATAATTAAATAAAAGATTGTAATTACAATAGTAACTTTCTCTTGGCCGCGGCTCCGTCTGCGTGTACATCACAGTTGTTCTCTGTCACTATGGCCACTGAACCTGAACTGCTTCCACTTCAGTGTTCCACCAGCGTAGTATTGGGATTGGGGTCCGGATTGTGTCAAAGGATAATCGGGATAAAAAGAAGCCCAAGTCCTTTTCCTAGGCTTCATTTATATGCATACTAAAATTCATCACAAACGGTTCAGCGGGTTAGGAATGAAAACTTAACAAACAAACAGACTGTATTTATAATACATTAGTATTTAGTTACATTCGTATTTATAATATTAGTAGGGATTTGATAATAATTGCAATCACTAACAGTCATCATGCTATTAATAATGGTTTACAAAACAAAACCATCTGTAGTTAGCAGAATTAATGAGTTGAAAATAAAATAAAAACACATATATTGTTAATCATTCATATACATATATACAACTGAATGCATAATAATTACAAATATCAAATTTGCTACTTTTTAGTTTGGTATTTTATAAGAGTGTTTTTGTCTTCTTCTTCTTCTTCTTCCTGGCAATTTCCCAGCTTTAGCCAGGGTCTGCCTTCCCACACAAACGCCTCCACTTTGCACGATCTTGGGCATCCTCGGTGGTTAATCCATTGGCTCTCATGTCCTGCTTCACGATGTCCAGCCATCGCTTCTTTGGGCGTCCTGGGGGTCTCGCTCCAGGGACACACATATCAAGGCAAATCCTTCCGACGTAGTTCTCAGGCCGGCGTGCAACGTGGCCATACCATCTCAGGCGACTCTCTTCAAGCTTATCCGCTACGTCACGGACTCCAAGACTAC